ATTAAATAAGTAGTTGTCATGTGATAGCAGGATTAAAGGCTGCCTCAATTTCCATTAAGGAAAATAACACAAATTGCCACAAGTCCTGCCCGTTGGTCTCAGACAAGCACAAAGGACACTTTTATTCAGATCCTGCATACTGTGAAACATAGCATTGTTGCCTGACTGCTTCTGTGGCAGGCCTCAATTCTGCTGGATCTGTCATTACACAGCCAACATTCAGTTAAAGCTGTTTCTTAGCTTCAGCAGGACAGTTGAATGCATTTTTCTTTTGAGATAACTGAAGTAAGGACTTACTTCTGGATAAAATTATGAAAGTGTGTCTATAACACTGATCTAGGAATCTCTGCAATTCAATCATTCTTTCATTCATTCAACAAATATTTACTGAATTCTTATCAGGTACTCCTAGATTATTTTGGCATGAGTATTCTAGAGAAAGTAGGACTGGCAATTCTTATTTTGTGTCTTCAGTTTAAAAAATGTATTCTTATAGAAGTGACAAATGTTCTTTTTGGGTAACTGAGAAAGTATAGGTCAGAAAAAACAAAAAAGAAACACAAATCACCACCATGTAAGATAGCCACATTACCAAGTTATCAATTTCGTATATATGCTTCTAGCATTTTCTCCCCTAGTTTCTTATATGATTTTTTTTAAACAAAAGTGAGTCTACACTGTACATACTGTTTTAAAAATACTTTTTCACTTAATATAGAACAAAATTTGCCATGTTAACATTTTTTACATTTTTTAAAATGTTTACAGAGCACTGTTAAAATCTCCAGTAGTTATTTTACTCATCACCTAAAGTTGGTCAATCAGGTTGTTTCCAATTTTTCGCTTTTATAAAATAGCACTCCTATAATTCTGGTATTCAATAAGTTTAAGGAGGCTTGTGGGGCAATAGCAACACTGATTAATTAGCTATGATAAAAGCAGGCTGAGCAATGAGCCTACCGCTCAACACTTCTTGGTTTATTTCCTGTGTTTTACCCTCTCTGATCCACTGTGAACCTGGGGGCTAAGAACACATATAGTTTAGTGGTGGCAGTACCAGCTGAGGCTTTTTTAAAAGTCAAATAATGGGTGAACACACCCTATAATGGCAACATGCTACAGAAACATAAGGCACGGCATTATCCTATTGTGGAGCAAGCAAGCGAGGCAGAGCAGGAAATGACTGCTGCGTCCAGTCATGAAACCATCCATGCAGCATTTGAGTGCCAGGATCTTAAGAGTAGAACCAGAAGAAACTCCTGAGGGAGGAGGGAAAGGGAGGAATTGGTAAAGGGCCATGAAAATAAACTCTGATTTTTAAAAAACTAACAATAAATAAATGAATAAATAACACTCCTGGCCTGGTCGGGGAAGTCCATGCAAAGCAAAGCAGCAAGATGGCAGCCTTCAACCTGCATGGGCCCTTATAACTGTTTTGTTTGGTTGGCAGTGATTTTTGTTTAGTTGGTTTCTAAATTTGAATGAACTGTCAACATTTCCAAATTAGAAGATAGCATAAAAGTCCAGATTTCTGACTTCTCTTGAAAAATCAGGAAGATCTGGGAATACGAGGAAGCAGTACTATTATAAAAGCTTGTCCACTAGAGTCAGACTCCCTGGATTAGACACAAACAGTTCTGCCATTTGCACTATTTAACTCCTCTGTGTGACTCACTTTCCCCATTTATGATAATGTATTAGTACCTTCTTCATAGTGTTGATCTGAATATTAAATAAAATGAAATAATTAAGTAAAGCACTCGGCAGAGTGTCCCCACCCGATAAAGGCTAATTATTATTATCATTTCAGCTTGGCAACAACTGACTGGCTGGAGGGAGCACAATGTGCTCCCTATCAACTGGCAAGTCTTCTTCAGGATGTCCACTCCTGGGCTGGCTCACTCATTTATGATGCCCGCCTACTTGGCCCAGCATCAGGTTACAAACCCTAATAGCAACACAGACTTGGCAATGCAATGTATAAATGCTAAGAAAGATAACTATGGGGATAGTGGGGCTCAAATCAAAATAGTCAACAAATATTTACTAAGGACCAGGTTCTAGGCCTCGAGACACAGTGATGTACAAGAAGGCAGAGTCTCTAGCTTCAAGGAACTGATGTTCTGATAGAGGGAGACATAACAACAAAGACATTAAGGAATTAATAAGAATTTCAGGAAGTGACATCTTTGCAGAAGATAAAATAAGGCAATGTGATAAGAAAATGGCTGGAGAGGGGAGAGTGGTCTTTAATGAGGTACACTTGATTTGCAACATGAACGGTGAGAGGAAGGCAGCCATGGAAAGAGCCTGGGAGAAATGTGTTCCATGCAGAAGGAACTGCAAGAATGTGGCTGAGCAGAGTGAAAAGGAGGAAGGGAAGGAAGGAGGAAGACAAAATTGGAAAAATGATGTAAGGCCTTTGTAGGCCTTGGAAAGGAGTCTGGATTTTATTCTGGCCAGGAAACATCTCCCAGAGTAGCTATTTGAGAGGTGTTCGGAGATAGGAGGGGATGCAACAGAAGAATTCTGAGCAGAGAAAGCAGAGTGGCATACACAACATGAGCAGAGAAAGCAGAGTGGCATACACAACATGAGCAGTGAAAGCAGAGTGGCATACACAGCACGGCCAAGCATGAAGTGCACCAGAAGTTCCGCTGTGGGGAGGTTGGATGGTGTGGGCCTTATATCCTGTGCAAAGTGAAGTGTGCTTCATCTTATAGCTTAGTGGAAGCCAGTATTATGAAGATCTCTTCATAACAACAAAAAAAGAATGAAAGAAACCTCTACCACAGGACAACTGTATTTACTCAAAAAAAGATAAAAAGAGGATACTATAAATTACTTATTTAAAAAGTAGTAAACAGTACTTCTGAAAGACAGCGTTATCTATTCTGCCTATAGATAACCATGGGTTACAAAAGCCCTCTGCAGTACCTCCTGGCCACCCTTACAGTTCTAGACTACAGGATAGAAGCATTGCTAGATGATAAGTAGCATTTTGCAAACATTCCTCTAGCAGCTGTGTGAAGTGAAACTAGTCAGGTAACTTATTTGGTAATCCATAAGTAAGCCTAATGAAGGGCTGAACCAAGACAATGAGGATGGAAAGCAAGTGTGAAATTTTTAGGTAGTGAAAACTGAAAGGACTTAGCGAATAACTGAATGTAAACAGTGAAGAAAAGGAAGTCCAGGATGACTCCCACGCTTCTAGATTGGGTTAGTGAGTGGTTCATTAACCAAGGTTAAGAAGAGGAAAAGAGCAGATTTGCAGAGGAAGACTACCTAACATGAGCAGTCTGTGATGCAGGTGTAAGTTTGGGACTCATCAACAAGGAGTTGGTAATGAAAGCAGAGAGCATGAATAAAGTTGACTGGGAATAATATGTAAAATGAGACAATAAGAGAAGCAAGGCAACTTGGGGATATTCAAAAGGGTATAAAGAGGACGGGTGGGAGTGTGAAGACTTAGAAGTCAGAAGGAAAAATGAGAATCAGGACAGAGTAGTGCCATGGAAGCCAAATGACAGGAGAGGTCAACAATATCAAATGTACTGAAAGAAGAAAAGTTGAAATAAGGATTCACCAAGAGATTCAGTACATTCATTCATTCAACATGAACATATGATAGTCAAGCACTGATGCAGACACAGAGGAGACAGCAGGGAACAAAACGTCCCTAACTTCTTGGATTTTATATCTTCCCGGAGGGGGATAAACAATAGACAAATAAATACATAATATTTCTAGGGGCAAAAAGTGCCAAGGAGAAAATAATGAAACGGGATTAGGGAAATTGGAAGGTGGGGGCAGGGAAGGGTCCTAGTCAGAGAATGACTTTCTGACAAGCTATCTGAACCTAGATCTGCAGGAAGTGAGAGAGATACCATGAAATTTTTGGTGGGGAAGAGTGTCACAGGCAGCAAGAACATCAAATGCCAAGACGATGAGGCAGGTGTGTGCTTGGTGTGATCAATGAACAGCAAAATGGCCCTTGTGCCCGAAGCCATCAAGCTAGGAGAGAAGTGGCAAATGAGATCAGAGAGGTCAGTTAACCAAGGTCAGGCTTGTAGGGCCGTGAGGGCTACTTAAGGTCATTGGATTTTACTCTGAATGAGATGGGAAGTCTTTGAAAGGTTTTGAGCAGGAAAAAGATGTGATCTGATTCTGATTTACATTTTTAAAGGGTCACATGGCTGCTAAGTAAGAGCAGACTGGGCGGGGGGTGGTGTGCAAGAGTGGAAGCACAGAGACCAATTATAAGGTTATTGAATGATGAGTGCGGCTTGAACTAGGCAGTGAGAAGTAGTTAGATTTTGCATATGTTTTGAAGGAAGGGCTGCCAGGATTTCCTAATGATTTGGATGCAGGGTAGAGTTGAAGAAAGGAGTCAAGAATGATTCCAAGGTTTTTTACTTGACCAACGGAAGACCATTTACTGAAATGGTAATGGATGTCAGAGTAATAGATGAGATGCCTTTTAGATTGCCTATTGGAAGCCTATTCCTAAAGGGAAATGCAGAGCAAGATAAGAATTGGTGGTATAAGTTTTCTTTTTGTTTACTGCTTTTAGGGATTATTATTTTTGCTCCTCTTTTGAAGAACATAATTTAGAACTGCACTTATATTTTTAGAAATGTTCAGGTCAACATTTATTACTTAGGATCATTAAATTCTTCACAAATGAGTTACAAAAGTGCCACTGTTACCTAATTTCTAAGGTAACAATATAATACTAGGTCACAATTATCTACTGTATCTGTTTACAGATTTTTGTCAAACATTTGTTTTATGGATGTCAAGACAGTCTAGGAAAACAAGATAACTGCACAAGTAAGTTAAATTTGCTCTCCAACTCTGCTGAAGAGATTCAAGAATGTGATCTGTAAATTACTATACAAATATCTTCTTTTTTTCTTTTCCTTTCTTTCCTGCTTTTTCTTTTTAAGAGATCACTGTAGTGTAAGCAGAAACAAGTTAGAATTTGGAGTGAGAAATACCTGGTTTTGATTTCTGGTTGCATAAGCTCAGGAAAACTCATAAAATCTCTACAAGCTTCTGTGTCGTCATCTGCAAAACAGAATGATAATGTCTGCCCCATAGGGTAGTAATAGTAACAATAACATTTATTGAGCCTTTACTATGTGCTGGGCACATTTCTAAGCACTTTCACATATATAATTTCACGTAATCCTCACAATTCCATGAGGCATTATTATTATTTCCTCACTGACATACGATGAAATGAGGCACAATGAGGTTAAGTAATTGTTCTAGGGAAAGCAGGAAGTGAGTGGCAGAAATAGAATTTAAATCTTGGCAATGTGCATTACACTTTACAGTTTATGAGACATTTTCACACTTATTTTTAAAAGTTGGTATAGCACTGTATTAGACTGAACAATATGAAATTGCTTTTTGTAGGTCCAAAACAGTCAAACATCAGCAATTCCATATGACTCAACCTTAAGTATTATGCTATAACCACTTTAAAAAATGAAATGTGAAAATGTTTTTGAACTATAAAGCACTATGGAAGGTATTATTTTATGCAACAAAAAATGGAACCACACTAAGAATTATAAACACAATTGTGCAAATGGAGGTAGTATGAAAGGGAACAGACAATAAATATGGGAATCCATTCAAATTACACATCAATCAATAACCAATAATCAATGAAAAAGTCTATTACACATGCAGCCCAGTATTTTTGAGGGTTAATCTTCTGAACAGAATGGAGACAGTCTCAAGCCAACAGCATTTTGTCCATGGTACTCATCACCACCTAATGTAATATTTGTGTTTATCTTCTTTCTCCACTCCACTAGAGTTAATCAGTGCTTTAACCCCAGCACCTAGAAGTGTTCAAGACTCACAATAATCACTCAAATTCATTTGTTGAATGAATGAGAAATTAGAACTTCCTAAATTACTTGGACAAGAAAACATAAATACATGAAATACATTTTAAGACAAAAATTATTTTGTAATACAAACAGATATTTTGTAATACAAACAATAACAATACGAACCTACCCATAAATACTCCAAAAAGTGTCAGACATCTAAATTTGAATTGTACCCATTCAAATATTAAAATCACCATATTTATTTGGTAATTCATTCAAATAAACTGTATCTTGAATTACTTACAAAATTAAATTTAGGACAGCATATAATCAAAGTTACAGGAACAGTAGTAAGAAGGAAAAATCATATTAGAATCATTAGAATCCTAAATAAGGAAAGAGAAAAATAAAAAGCACACATTTCAAGATTAAAACAAATGAAATTTAGAAAACAAGGTCAAGAGTTCAGATCCACATAGTGGCCAGCCACCAAAAAAACCCCCAAAAAAGCCCCACCAGAAAGTGGTTGAATATTAAACTAAAATGACTTCACCTAAAACTAGGAATAACATCTCTATTTTAGAATTGTTTAAAAAAATCTCTAAACTTAAAAGGGAGAAGGGAAAACATGTATATAAATAACATATACACTATTTTTTTGTTTAAAAAAAAATCATTGGGCCGGCCCGTGGCTCACTCGGGAGAGTGTGGTGCTGATAACACCAAGGCCCCGGGTTCGGATCCCACATAGGGATGGCCGGTTCGCTCACTGGCTGAGCGTGGTGCTGACAACACCAAGTCAAGGGTTAAGATCCCCTTACCGGTCATCTTTTTAAAAAAAAAAAAAAAAATCACCAAAAATTTTCCATGACTACCAAACATTGCATCTGTTTAGAGTAACTATTTTAAAAAGTGTAGAGCACCGTATGAGAGAGAAGATAATTATTATCCTATAAGAATAAAAAATATTTTTCTCACTACCATTTTCTTAATGTGATCTTTGATAAAATTCTCAAAAACAGAGGAGGAAAAGAGGACATCAAATGTAATTTACCATATACATTTATCAGCAGCTGCTTGGTCCTGGCCACAATGGACATCCTGCAGCTGGCTGTCAAACCACCAAAAGCTGCTCGTCACCCACCTTCCGAGTCTCTTAGAACTAAGCTCACTTGGATCAAAATAAGTTAACTGCCTTTCTCACCAACAGTAACATGCTGGAATAAAGTTTCAAGTATAATTCTGGCTGCCAAGATTTAGTTCTTAAGAACAGTCTTGTAACTATTGAAGAGAACATTAAATTAGAGCTACTGCCTAAAAGAAGAGGGCTATCTGCATCTGTAGCTTGATTGGGATAACACTTTAGGTCTTGATCTCTAGTCAAACCAGAGGAAAGGGAAACAAACCAGAAAATGCCACATACCTCACAACTCCTCAAAAGAGTGAACTTTGAAAAATAACGAATGTGCCAATAGCAATGGATGAATAAAACTAGGATTATACTTCAGAACAGTTTCCATGTGTTGTGCAACTCTGACTTAGTACACAAATCATTAGTACACAGGAATACTGCAGAAGTCTTGAAGGATGAAGCAGACTTGCGTGTAGACACATAAAAATATCTACAATATATTGTTGGATTTTGGAAAAAACAGGTTATAAAACATGCTAGAATGAGTGTGGTCTCATTAAAAAAAACTATAGGTACAGTTATGGGAAAATGAAATAATCTAGGAAGATATACCAAAACTGTTAAGAATACTTCTTTGTCTATGCAGAATGGAATTATGAAGACTTTATTTCTGTTTTATAGATTTCTTTCTCCCTTTAAAATGATAAGTATGTAATTGCTTTTATAATAGTGGTTATTTCGGGGCCGGCCCGGTGGCGCACTGGATAGTGCGCCGCTTGGGAAGCGCGGCGGCGCT